CCCTCCCTAAGCTGTTAGTGAGCAAACACTGTCATAAGAATGTGCTGTCATAGTTTGCTGATTCTGTCATACACTGAGTCATGTGTTTTGCTGTGCTGTTGAGGACACCAGCTTAACTTGATTCACGAAACCCATGCTAAGTAGGTAAACATGAAGAGAAATAGCAGAAAGTCGCCTTTACCTCTATAGACAAGACATTGAAAACCTCATTTTTTTTGGAAGAGTTACATTTGAAAAGCTCTTGTGCCTCCAAGATTTGGGGGTGACTCTGAAAGTCAGTCTTATTATGTGGAAGTGAAGTTGCACTACATGAAGATGCCCTGTGTGTGAGTTTTTAAACTGTGCTAACAAATGAATATGCTGTGGAAATGGATTTCTGCTAAATCACAATTTTTGTGGCAGTTATTACCAGTTGTCCCAGTTTTAGCTTGGCTCCTTGCACACAATGTCATCAGCCAAATTGTAAAGTACTAAAGTCCTTTGTGATTGCACTTTGGGAGTGAATGCTTAATGAGCTTTGCAGAGCCTGTGCTACATTTCCCCAAACCAACACTTGGAGTTGCACATATTTGATCCATCCGAACACGCCTTGGACTGGAAAGTGGCACACAGTCTGTGCTAATTACCTGCTGATTCCCAACCTGCCGCTCGACTATCACACTGTGCTCATCATGCATGCATGCATGCATGCATATACCCACCTCTGCAGGGGCTCCTGTACCATTTCTGCTGACTTTAACAGTAGCTTCTTCTTCCATTGTAGCATTTTTTTTTGCATGTTAATAGTGGGTTCAGCTTTGTGCTTAAGGCTTTGTTTGACACCAGCAGCTAGAGAGGCCCCCAAGGGAGGCATGATGAGGCTAACGGAGCTGTGGTGCAAGGTGACTGTGTGATGTTCAACCAGTGAACAGGCACAGCATGCCGCAGATTCCTGAACCTCCTCTGACCCACTTTGAAAGGTCTCATCCTGTAGCTGTTGAATACCCATTTGATAGTCAGTGGGAGGGGAAAGAAACAAAGCTACTGTGCCATGACATCATCACTTTTATGTGCTCTTAATGTTGATGTACTTCTAAATAAAACCTCCAAATTAATGTAAAGTAAGAGATAAGACTATAGTGACAGTAAACTAAGAACTTAAACACCTCCAATATTTGTCCAAAAAAACAGGAATACTGTACATTATTTCAACTATTGTAAAAAGGCATTTGTTTATAGTATTATGCTGATTAAAAAATTCCCTGTCATCCCTGTAATGAAATGTGCTTTATAAATAAACTTCTATTCTATTCTACTGGTTGTGCAGACTGCACCTTCAACATGACTGGGATAGGCCTGTTATCAAGCTCTGGAAATGCTGACCACATGTTTGTCCTAGGCTTTTTCCCCCTTGGCTCACAATGGCAAGCGCCTCCAACAAAGTGTTTTTTCGTGTTCAGACTTGATGGAGACTGGAGCATCTCGGAAGACGTTGGTGTGCATTGTTTTATAACCATAAATAATGTAAGTGATGTCCCAAGAGGGTGGTCTAAAGGCTTATCGCTGGTGTCGTCCCCTGGGTGCAGCGCCTCTGGGAATCTGGAGTGTGAATATTGTAAAGAGGCTGTTATTCTCAAAGGGGACTTGTTCTCCTCTGATAGACTCACTGCTGCAGAAAAATATTATCGAAAGAGGCTGATTTTCTTGTTTCAAATACTCTGGAATGATTTCACAAGTAAATAGTGCTCACAAGAAAACTCAATTACAAAATTACCTCTGTAATTAAATTAGCTTGGCTCAAGCCGTGTTTGTTTTTGTGCATGACAACAGCCCGGACACAGAGTCCATGGCTGAACAGACGGTGTCATTGCATTCAGTACATCTGTGTCAATATTACCTAAACAGTTTCATCAAAGGCCTGCATGAATGTTGCTGATTTTGTTTGCAGTTAGGGGTCACTGGGCAAAGTTTCCCAGTTACTCTTGTACCCATCTCAATGTCAGCTCGGGACAAACATCCCAGAATCAAAGTCATCAACTATTCAGTGCAACCTTTTCAGCATTCAGAGTTTCCATAGCAACATGCATAATTTCTAAGGAAAATAAGGTTCCCTGCAGAAAACATTTTTTACATACCTATATGTTTTGGATTGCTTGCAGACAGAGATTCAACAGCACTGCCGCAATGAAGCTCTGACATGATATCACAAACGGCATCAACATATATCTGTCCCAGAGTGTGTGTGTGTGTGTGTGTGTGTGATTTTATACAGCATTAAGGGTTGCAGAATCAAACAAGGTGCAAGTGTGTAACAATTAGCCCAAGCATGTCAAACACAGATAATGTTTTTCTGTCCTGACACCTTCTAATGCCAGCTCAACAGCTGAACATCTTTGCACCAGTATCCTTTCTTTGCAACTTTTACAGTGACAGCTTGAACAGGCTTTGTAAAGGTGGCTGATGTTTTCTTGTCTGCTGTCTTCTTACTGCGTGATTGAAGCATTCAAATAGTTACCTGTTACCAATACTACTGGTAGATCATTTTTATACTGGCCAATGTTAAAAAAATGTAACTTGCATATTCAGATTTTCCATTTCTTTTCAGTCATCTATCGTACACTCTGTTCCCCCGGTAGTCTGGTAGTGGAGACAGTCTGTGCAGAGTGCTGCATCAATCAGCGCTTGTTTCAGTCTCTTGCAGCACAGCGGCAGTCCTCTCCCTCAGCTCCCATCCCATTTTCCTCCTGAGAGCTTCAGGTTTCATCGGTATTCATTGTCTGTGCCATCAACATACCAGAGTGTGTTACATTCCCATTCTCCTCGTCACTGACGGTATAGATCACAGCGATTGTCCGACCGTCGCCCACAGTCCTGCCAGAAAGCCAGTTCTTTGTGATGCATGTTCTCAGGTGTATGGGTAACTTTCAAGGGATATGACACACAATACACCTGTCTGTCAAAGCTACACATACTACTACCACCTTTGAAAGAGCAGCTGTCAAGTCCACCCTGTGACATGTGTGAAAAAATGGTGTAAGATGATGTATTTATGGACTAAAGTTGTGTTATTCAGCACCTGAGCGGTCAGTCACAATGGAACACCTGTGGTTGTGTGTTTGCATCATTTGTTTGCAAATGTTTTGTCTGGATTTGGAAGATAATTGCAGGTCATGTATCTCATGAGGTTTTCTGTCTTCCCCCAAACAGAGGCATGGATACATTTAGAAGAGCAAGCAGCTTTACTTTAGTTCTTCATGTTTAAATGAAGCTGTTTGCAAGCCTTGGGTGCTGTGTTTTAAATAGTTTGCCTTCTTTCCGGTTGTAAACAATTTATTTTTGACTCTCTCATCACTGAGTACATTTCTGGCGCCAGCAGCACTTAGCTTTCCCCCCAACAAAGATGCATTTTGTCACTAAATTGGACTGAACCCATTCCAGTGTTCATCTTCTCCTTTCAGTTCATCTCAACAACATACCCTCCCTCCCTTCCCCTATCCTCTTGCTGTCATTGCAATGTTTTGGCTGCTGTCCCGTTGCCATGCAGAGGCCACAACAATGGCCCCTCTCTGTCAGGGCGCATCGCCGCTCGAGGAATGCTTATTTAATAGTGGCATGCTTCTGCAGGGGAAACACAATGTCTTGTCTCCCACATGAGCTCTTTCATGGACTCGTACTGCTTTTGGGCTTAGTCTGACTCAGGGTCATCAGAGTCATGACATAGACACTCTGTGAATACATGAACACAGACAAATCTTTGCCACAGGGCCTTATATCTCACTGACTGCTACTAAACATTCGTAGTTGTAGAAGTGAGAAGTTGACTTATTTATTTTCGCCGACAGCTATTTATGCAGATCTTTGTCCGGACTTTGCCTCTTAGAGATTTTTTATAATAGTAGTACAGTTGCAGCTATAATTAAGTCTCTTTAAATTTGCACAGCATTGGTCTCGCTGCTCATTGGTCCTTTACAACTGTTGAATAGCACAGCATTTCTCGAGTAAATCTTTAGTGCATTCACCATCCCAGTGTGACAGCCCCCCTACTGTCTGTGATGTTTTTAGCCAAAGTCTGAATAATTTACAGCATGTTGCCCCAGTGTTTACCTCCAGAGACTACGCAGAAGAGTCTGTTCTCCGACACGGTTCCAAAGGGAGCGTGGGGGTACAGTGCTGAGTGGACAAAGCCAAGTTCCCCCCTCCTCTCCTCCCGTGAGGGTCTTTGTTTGGCCGTCAAAGCCAGGCCTAACTAATGTTTGAGCAAGAGATTCAAGTTCAGCAGCCTGCCAAATGTGAGTCATGGTGCTGTGAGTGAAGCCGCTGTCCCAACAAACCGGCACAGATTTTTTCTTATCAAATAACACCGACAGTACAGATGACTCATGAGCCTGAACCGGCTCCCATCGAGAAGTTTTCAGCAGAAAAAAAAACTTGTTTGTCGTCTACTGGGAAGATGATCAATCTGATTCTGTTTTCGTAAGCAGTTCATTTCACCTCAATAGAATCATCAGGATGCCAAAAAGCAATTACTGTAGTGTGTTTTGTTCTGCCAGAGAGCTTGTCCATTTGCTGAGGCTGGTCTGTCGATAAATCTGTTGTGTAGAGTAGAAATGGTTTAAGACATCGAGTAAGAGGAACAAGCTTCAGACTTCTTTTTAAATCTTGTGTTTCTGAACAAATTGTGTAATCACTGCAGCAGATAAAATAACTGGAGAAACTTTGTACCGAAATAAAGGAACTTACATGATGTCCTTTGAGGTGTTCCATTTCATTCTGTTGTGACTTATCAAATTGAACCATTTCCCAAAGAAAACAATCCTCTCCCTATAGCCGGGGACCCCACCCCTCACACTCGATACATGCAGCTCTGGAGGAAGTTTACGTCATCCCAGTGAATTACTTCATAGGCCCAGCCGTGAGAGGAATGAAGACCAACTGGTTGAGTTGTTTCTCTGTGCTTGTCTTACCTCTTGCCTTATCATTTTCTCACTTGTATTTATTCTTTGTCCCTTCTCTTTAACCAGCTCCCTTCTCGGATCTGAAAACAAATCCTACAAGGCCGGATCCGGAGGGGGAGAGCAGCCCCCCGAAGACAGAAAGCATCACCCAGAGAATGGAGTCGCCAGCTAAGAAAGATACAGACCAGAAACTGACCACTCCGACAATATCTGACATCATCCCTCGATCGCCAGGGTCGCCTGCATCACCTCTCCCCAGGACGAAAAGGAAGGAAGGTAAAGAGAAACTTTTAGTTTGAAGGTTTTTTTTTGCTTAGAAGTTAAATTCTACTAGAAGCTAAATTTAGCCTCACATGGAGCAGCTCCTCTAATGGTACCATTACATCTGCAGTCTGTTGGGGTTAGGTCAGCTCTCTCGAGTCTAAGATAATGCTTCAGTATCTGACTAAAAGTGACCACATGCTTTCAGACGTGAAGTTAAATCCAATAGAGCTGCTACAGTTTCTCTTTGAGTGTCGGAAACAAACACAGAACAAAAGCCGCTGTGTGGAAACATCTGAGCCTAACGATCAAAGATTTTGGTAGAATTAAAGTAGTAAAGAAAATATGCCAGTAAAATATGGACAAATGCGCTTACTCTCTAAGGGGCTCGCTAATGCTGATCACGGCACTGTGCCCTCATGAAAGGTGGGCAAAGGGAACCTGACAGCGTTCCCCATTTCAATAAGCAATACCAACAAGACATTTAGTTTGACCTGGTACTGTAGAGTTTTCTACAATGCCACTACTTGAACTCCTTGCAGCCGCTGGAACAAATCACATAAAACTCTAAGGAACATGTTTAAGGGATTTTGGAGTATAAGCCTCTTTTCTCTCTCCCCTTTATTCTTTATCCATTAATCCATTCTCTGTGGTCATGGTCTTTATTCCCTTAGTGTGAGGTGACATGGATAACCCCCCAGAGTCCCTAACTGCTCCCAAAACTGTAACAATACTTTTATAAAGCAACATCACTGTAATGGTATCTTGTATCTATTTTCTACAGTCTATTTTCATGAAATATATTTGATATTGTTGAGTCATTAGTCTCCAAATATGACCCACACTCCGCTTTTCTCCATCCTTTTCTGCTAGTTTTGTAAATCTCATTACTTGTGAGGTTTTGCAGCACCCAGAGGAGCATGATGGAGATGAAAAGCACTTTGTGTCCCTTTTTAATTAGTAAAATGAAACGGTAAGGCTTGCAGTTCAGATGGGAGCTGAGGCCTAGGCTGGGTTGGGTCTTTTTAGAATCAGTTTTGCTTCCGTCTGGTAGAATACCCTTGTGTAGGTGGCGTGGAAGAGTTTTCCAGTGTTGGGTTTGAGTTTATCAAGTTGGATTTTGGATTACTTTTCTTGTTTATTATATGTGCAAAATGTAAGAATTGGTTAATAAGGGTTGCATAGAAGGCGGTATGTGTTTATATCCTACATCGCAGCTTTTACACCCTCGTTTAGAGACAAACAAAAGAGTGCAGAGCTGACATTTTGAGAAGATGCCAGGGTGCGTGAGTGTGTGAGTGCATAGCCAAACAGCACACCTAACAGTATTTTCTGGGCCAGTCTTTTTTAGTCTCTGAAGCTTTGTGCATGTGACGTTATGATTAACATGGTGCTGGTGGTGAGTTGCAAACAGCGGCACATCACACTGACTAAGGCCGAACACATGGGCTTTACATATTTCTATAAATATCAAAGTGGGTCAGAGGTTTTTTCTTAGGGAGGGCAGCATGACAGATTGTTTTCATGTGTATGATACACGCCTCCACCTATTAGACACAGCTGAAGGTGGATGTCCTTTATGTTAGAGTTTGGTTGAACATCTGGTCATGAAGACTGACTCAAGAAAGATCAAGACTGCAGCCTGTGCTAGATTTACCTAGCATTGGACATGCTATTTATGGTGGTTTACTACAGATGAATGTTTAACATGGAAGCTGTTTTGGTCAACATGCTTTTCAAGCAAATTTATTTGGATTGGCTTTAAAAAATGAGGGACATAAAGGGTACACAGTTATAAAAACATGCTGCGATTTCATAAAAAGGATCGGAAATTCTGAGCTGAAACCGTTTGACTTTAGGTTATAATTAGACCCCGACTGATTAATCACCCAGCCGATAATTTCGGCCAATATTAGCATATCAAGTGACTATAAGTATCGACTAATTTTATCACAGATATGCGCTGATATTACTAGATTGATTTACCAGTCAAATCGCATTTCATTTGAGTTTCGTTATATTACACTAGCAGTTTTCTTTCACCAGCAGAGGGCGCTCTATGGATTACAACAAGCGCTATCAATCTGCAGAGAGTCAAGCGGTGGCACACGTACATGCACAGTTTCTTTCCAGTTGAGTGACCATCTTGTCATTACCTTATACTGCATATCTTTTCCACAAGTGTTTGATAACTGAATTGGAGGGATCAACACAATACATGCGTTAATCAATGAATCAGTAAACCACTGCAATTTAATTTCTGGTATCTTAAAAACCTGTGAGGGTCGGGCACTTTGGTGCATGACACGTCAATAAATACAGTCAATAAATAAATCAATCAGTTATATATTTGCTTTTGTTATTGGCTTTTGTCAAGCTAATAGCATATTTGTTTTAATCAGGATTTAGGACCAGCTATCTTGATAGGATGCAGTTTGCATTTTTCAAATGGCTTAGTTCAGTGTTTACTTGCATTGCTGTTCTACATTTTCTTTGAGAGGTTCCCCTGAGCTATTTGGAAGGAATGATATGTATGAGCACACATCAGGGATGTCACAGGGAGAGGAGATATATGTAAGTGCCCCCTGTAGTCATAACATTTCACAGTCAAACATAAAAAGCATACACCCACATCCAGATGGCAGAGGAGATTCAGTGAGCCCGAAACATCCTGCAGCTGCTATTTGAAGAAGATTGGCCTCCATGTAGATATTATTTAAACATTCAAATTGTTTTTTTCCTAATTACGTAAGATTTAGTACACATTGTCTTTAGTTATTTGTTTAGAATCACTTTGGAAATGCTGGTGTCGTCAGTTTCCTGTCATTGTCTGGTGGCATGCATTTCCATGTGGTGACATTTCGAAGCGAACTCTCGGCTGCACTGACTTAATAACAGAAAACATGTTCAAATGTTTCTTGTGGCCACCAGAAGAAAGATTCATCAAGAGGTTTTGAGTTGATGGATGTGGACAGTAGTTGATATGAAAGTTGGCACACAAAACATATATTATAATAATGAATGACAAACTGGACATTAACAGGATTCTGGAGGTTATTCCAGTCCCTTTACTCGTCTATTCTTAACTAAATCAGTCACTGCCTTATTGAAGTGAACTGATCAGTGTACATGCTCCAGCCAGAGCACTGCCGTCCACCAACCAGCTGCTCCTGGATGTGCCTAAGACGAGGCTCAAAACCAGGGCGATGGAGCTTTCTCTGTAGCTGCACCAAACCAGTGGACCAGTTTACCTCTTCATATATGATCTTCCCCTAGCCTTGAATGTTTTAAATCAACGCTGAAGACTTCTCTCTTCTCTTTGGCTCTGCCTTCACGATGAAAACGTTTTTTATTCGAACAGATTCTTTTCTTTTTAATCATGTTTTAAACCAATAGATTTGATTATTTAAGCACTTTGGTTAACCTTGGATGTTCAAATGTGCTAAATATATAAAGTTGACTTGACTTGACAAAATATTACAACGGATAATATTAATATTAACATGACCAGTCTTACACTATCATCTTTTATGACAAAATCATATACGCTATGTAAGCACAGGTTGTCTTTAATGAATGATTCTCATGAAGGCAGACTTGACTAAACAGGTTTAATTAGCTTCTTAGTAAGAGTGTTTTAACTGTTATTGTTTATTTATGTGGAAATATGTCATGGATGTAACTGAGATGGAAGTCCAAAAGCTCTTAGTTTTGCAGAAACATGATCTAGTGTTTGTTTATTTTTGCTGCAAGGATCCATAAAGAAATTATTTATGTACTTTTCCAAAGTGTGATTTCATTAGACCTTGGTGCATGTTTACAGTAAGACACCTCTCGTTTACCCCCTCCTCTGTATTTAATCTTTCTCCCCTCTCCCACTCTCCTTTCTCATCGTAGACCTCATCAAGTCAGAGGATAGGCAGAAGCTTGCCAAGGAGCGGAGGGAAGAAAAGGCCAAATATCTCGGTAAGTGGAGGAGGGAGAAGATGACCCTTTGCACAGAATGAGAGCTCCCCCTAGTGTTGGGGTAATGGAGATATTTTGTTTAATGTTTGCAGCTGGGTTTTGTGCTGGTTGGACTCCATGCTGCAGATGGCATGCACATGTTGCACAGGGAGGAGAGAAATGGTTGTTTGGGCTTCTGCACTAAAGTGGCTAAAATGAGCAAAAGCCAAAACCACCATTTTATCACAGACAAGCGAGCATTCTTTTTTTTTTTTTTTCTTTTTTTTTTTTAATGCATGCCTTTACACTCACCAGCTGTGTCAAAATATTTGCTTTCTGTATTTCTGTGTAGCCCAGCTGTCTTTTCTTAAATGTATCGCCTGACATGGAAAATAAATGTTGGGGAAAAAGCAACAAATTTACAATATTTTGCTCTATTTTACAGTTTTGATGAATCTCTCTTGTGACTTCCACATTTGAGCTTAGTTTGAGTTGTGAATACTCTTAACACTCTATCGTGAACGTTTACTTCTGCACAGTAACGACTAACATGACTTTACTTGTTGTGTCAGTTGGTTTTGCATATTGTTTGAGCCGCCTGTCACACTGGCTACACGCTGCTTTGCATGATTGACAGTTGCCTCTGTCTTCTCTCTCACCTCTTCCCCCACTGCAGAAGAGCTCAGCATGTTACAAGGTAAGCCACTCACCTATGTGTATGTGGTGGTGGTGGTGTTAGTGGTTACCCTCTATGATCATTCTTTTCCATTTGGATGTCTCAATATAATAAAGATCAGTAGTTTTATCTAGAGCTGGGCAATAAACCAAAACACTTCTGACTCATTCACCGTCTTTTTCATTCTGATATGTTTGCTGACAGCTCTTTGCTTATGGCTGTAATGGTCTGATTTTAAAGATACATGTCAAATGCCTTGGCTCCTCATCTTTTACTTTTCTGTGTACGCTTCTCTATTTAGAGTGTTGAGAGGATGTCGATGTATTTTCATCAGGACGCTCTCATGGAAAGTAAAAAAAGATATATCTTCAAATAAGTCATTATCAAGAATATGACACATGAGAGTAAAGATGTTGAGTTTTGGTCACATTGCCCAGCACTTGAACAGTTTCATTCATTTAATCCCCATGGTGTTCATCGTTTTAAAATCATGTTTTTTTTTTTTCCTCAAGGGAAGTTCAAACTGAATGTAACAGCTGTTCTCTCTAAACACCATCAATGTGTCTTTTGGGAACAAATCATGTAGACGTAGCTTAACCAATCACTAATCTGTAAATTCATGTTTCTATTGGTTGTTAAACAGGGCTCAGTCCCCGAATTTAAATCCTATAGATATGAGAGGATGTAGCATGCCCTGAGCTTGACCTTTGCCCATCCACATGTTCCAGCTGCAGACACCACAGAGCTCTTTGGCTTTTCTAATTAAATATGACATGTTTGAACCACACCCCACACAAGTGCTATGATTACCATACCTTACTGGAGGACGTGGAGGTTTAAGAGATGTAGCCATATTTATATAGGCTGTGAATTAACATTAGATTATGTCTGTGTGAGTTTGTGATGCCAAACAAGAAATCTCACAGAAACAGAGACTGGTATAGTTTCATTGTCATGTATTTTCATAAATATTGCTGTTTATTTAAACCAAAGAGAGAATTTTTAAGAGTCCAAACATGCTAGACATGAAAATGACTCAATATTTTGGTTTTTAGACACAAGTTTCTCTACAAAATACAGAATGACTTCATAATGATGACATAAAGCCTCAAATGACACAAATTTCTTCAAAACGTTCATACTTATTCTTCAGTGAAACTAATCCCTCCCTCTGTGTGTTTTGAACAGCAGTAAGATGACTTTGACACACTCTGTAGCACGGATCAGTCTAATTGGGCGATCGCCGTGCTTGCCAGATGGCGCGTGTCTGATCTAATACTCTGTCAGACCTGGGATGAAAGATGAGATCCTACCAAAGCTTGTGTTTACAACATCAGCAGCTTAAAAGAGATCTTAACAACCATCACCAGTAGTGGTACTAGTTTGGTAGCAAACAGAATACTTGGTGCACATCTTATCTTGTGGTGTAATCTTTTTCCGTTCAAGTAGACCTTTGAAAGACCTGCATCGTGGAGCTGTCTGCACAGGAACCGGAGCTTCTCTCCTTCCTTGTCTGTCTTTGGTGGTAGGGTTTAAATACTTAATGTACCCGAGTTAGAGCAGCACTCTGTTTATGATTCTTTCATGATTTTACTACAGTAGGCCCTGATGTCACATGTCGGCACTGATTAATGTCTGGACAGATTTGAGGAATACATTTTAAAACTGTGTCATCTTAAGATATTCAGAAAGAGACGTGTGAATCACTTTAAGTCCATGCATAGATACATGAATGATGATAAATGACACCTATTAAATTAAATAAAGCAGGAGATTAAATCATTCAGAAGAACTTTTTTATGGTAAAATATCACAAGGGGGGAAACTTTGTGGAAAAGGAAACTGGAATCTTTCTCTCATCCGTCCTTAGAACTGGTGTTTGTTTGCAGTTGAAGTAGGTTTCTCCTCCTTTCTCTGTTTTCATCACAGCCCATCCAGTGAATAATGAAGCAGTTTCCACTGCACTTCACTTACAGCGTGTCCCTTCAGAATTCAATCACTGGAAGGTAAAAGTACGGCTTTGCTCAAATCGAGGCCAAGGAGCTGCGATGAGCTGAGATACGCACTGCAGCAGATTTTTTTTTTTTTTTTTCAGCCAAATGTTGCTGGCAGGCAGCGCCTCCTTATAACTCAGCTTTCTGTTCCCTTACCCGATAAAAGCTGAACTGTGTGCCTCCCCGTTTATTTTAACCCCACTCTCGCCTGCAGCATCTCTGCGATGATCCTCCACCATAATCAGAAATCCACAACCAGTTGCTTTTGTTGCATCAAGTGCTTTAAGAGAGTTGAGCCCGGCGCCTTTGCAGAGGCCGATTCTTCATGGAGGTTTTTCCTTTGTAGTTAAAAAGAAATATGGTGAGTTGTGTACACAGAGAGGCAGCTGCTAAAGGCTTCTTCACACCTTCTTTGAATGGCTCAGGCAAAAGGAGAAGATTTCCATATCAAAGTGTGTGGTTTATTGAAGCTGACATAGAGGCTCGATGTGATTAGTGTGCTACAAAAGTGTCTGAACAACTCAGCATTATTCGGTATTTCATGAGAGGTCAGGTAATTACATTTATTTATATATTTCAAACAAAAGGCACAATAGAGGTAATGGGCAAAGTGTTTTTTCAACAACAGCTTTAAGTAACAAGTGAACCTTACACATACTTACGGCAAACATCAATAGATGTGAAAAATAGTGGCGTTTTAGTGGAGAGAGTGCAAGCAATGACAACAGTATTATGAAAGGACAGGGAAGAGTGAGAGGGCTTCTTGTCCTGTACTCTTGTGGCAAAAACTTACCCCGATGACTGCACGTTTTCTGTCCCGTCTTAGCTACTAAAAAGACGCAGTGGCTGGAGAAGGAGGAGAAGGCTCGGCAGCTGAGGGAGCAGCAGCTGGAGGAGCGCCGCAGGAAGCTCGAGGAACAGAGGATCAAGGCGGAGAAGAGGAGAGCTGCCCTGGAGGAGAGACAGAAACAGAAGCTGGAGAAGAATAAAGTAGGTTGTGATGTTAGTGTAACAGTTCATCGATAACAAAAAGCACGGTGTGCGCCGCCCTCCTTCACTGGAAAAACTGCTGAACAGGGTCAGTTGCAAATGAGTGGATTTAGGATTTTGCTGAAGAACACATAATCCAGCCTGAGGGGTTGAATCAAGGCTTTTCAGCTGAATGCTGCCACGTTCTGGATCCTGTACTTACTGAATTAGATATTTAAATAACGGATATCTCCTCCTGTATCCTTTCCAGGAACGCTATGAGGCAGCCATCCACAGATCAACCAAGAAGACGTGGGCAGAAATCCGCCAGCAAAGATGGTCCTGGGCCGGAGCGCTAAGCCAGAACTCCAGCCAGAAAGAAAGTAAGTACAGTACATTGATGATTCTGCAAACCTTAAGGAATCAATAGTAACCACTCAAGAATCACAACGCTGATAATAGGCAGCGTGTGCCTCAGTTATCCTTGCATCAGTGTGATATACGAACCTTTCAATGGCCATAGATTCTGTCATTTGGGGGTTTTATTTGTCATCATTGGCTATCCAGTTCCAGTTCCATTAACCCCATAAGTCCATTAGAGGGAAATCAATTACCAGTTAGCGTGCAGCTTCTCTCAGTGGTTTTCTCTGACGATCTTCAATACAGTGTGATGTCCTTGCAGAGGTTTTTTTCTAACTTTAAAGGAAGATGCGACTTGTCATTTATGATTGAGGTTTTTTTAAACAGTATTAAATGGTTGAGAAATGTTCATCTCAGATGCTCGAAGATCAGAAAGCTTTTCAAAGGACTTCTTTTGTCTAAAATAGTTAACACAATCTTCTTTAAAAATGAAGAAATAAAGAACTAAACTTCCGATTTAAGAAACAGACTTGCAAACGTTTCTACTTCTGCTTTGATAAATATTTCAAAAAATGAACCTGTTATCTAATTGGTTGGTTAGTTTTCCCCCACTGGAACAATTTGTGGAAGTCAAACAATGCAGCATGAAAATAGTGAGTTATTACTTTTTTACATGAGTCAAACAAAACCATGTTGTTCTTTTGTTCTTTAATTCCAACAGCAGAACTGTTGTGTCCGTTTGGTATGCAGTGTTTTATGCACAGTGCTGGGTTGGTATATGACAGAGGCAGATGCACATCAGGGATCCAAACAGACTTTGAAAGCATCAGGTGTTTTTTTGCTTGGTTACACTTCAGTCTGATGTGTCTTTGTTGCATTTAAAAACCTTAACACACGGCTTCTTCTCGTGTATAAGCTACCACAACTCTGTCTTAGCTGGCTGTTTTTTTTTTGCTGTCATTATCCCCTGATCATTACAGGTCTGTATTGATCGCTAAAGTTCTTTATTGCAACACTTGCAGTATGCAGGGTTCAGTCGATGAAACAGGGTCTGCAGAGACCATGTTATATTGTAGAAATGTTGTTTTAAGTGCTTGATAGATGCTTCTGCCCCTCTGTGCCATCCTCTGGAAGCTCTAAATGTAAGCTATAATATGAGTCCTGAGCGCTCTCTTGTGTCATGTAATCACCCTGCTGAATGCCAGGGAGAATTATTGACTCTTTCGTCAATCTCTGCCTTCCTTCCCCCCTCACCAGTCTGTCGCCTGTCAGATTATGGCAGTAAAGAAGCGTAAACAGGCGACAGTGGAGTGGCTGTGAGTTTGTGATGTTATTCAGGAAAATGCTACAAGTACCCGTCTTGGCTTCTTTCAAAAGAGCAAACTGCCTCATCCTCTAGCCCTGTCTACTTTAATGGAAATGTAAATAGGAAAGTCCTGCTTCAATACTGCACCTCCTGTACAGTAATGTTCTTTGGGTCATGCCTGACAACATTTGGAAAAAAAGAGCAGAGTTCATTTGGTTGCAGTTTATTTAATGGATAGACAACCGGGAAGGATACAAGTACTCCACAAAGATGGTTTAAAGAATTCAGAGTTTTCCCTTTTCTTGAGTATCAGTCTAAGCCATCAAGGTTGAAATGAGTAAATGTTTCCTGCAGCTTATTTCCAATTCTTTTTATGCAGCTTTTTTTAAATGACTTTCTTGCTCTTCACTTGTTTTTGTAGTTTTAAACGTTTTTTTTTTCTAGTTCACTTTTGTTCTGTTATGCTTAACCAAGTGACCAATGCTAATAAGACTACAGTGAAGTAAAAATAAGTGTTTTGTGATTTGGTTGAACTGAAAACCCTTATATATCATGTCTGGCATGTTTGCTGCCATAGATGTCTGTCTGTTGGTATATAAACAGGCGTAGGATTCTTTCTTTAATCATGGGGGCTCAACTCACAAACTCGTTATTGTAGTTTCCTCTCAAGTTTGTGGGTGTTTGTTTGTAGAGGGCGATGATTCAAGCGTAACACATGATGCCACAGAATCTCCCCCCGCCTCTCTACCATGTGCCCTGTGTGAACATCTGTGTGGCGCTCTCTTGGCTTCTTAGGCAGATGCTCTTTGTCGACGGTCAACCTGCCCAAACACGTGGACACTGTTATAAACAAGCGACTGTCCAAGTCCTCCGCCACGCTCTGGAACTCCCCCAGCAGAAGTAAGGCAACACCTGGAATGACCCCCCACCCCCTCCTCCTCCTCTCCGTTTCAATGTGTTCATCACCGCCAACACCTCCGAACCCGTCCATCATTGTCCTCTGTTTTTTTCAGTTCTTCCCCTTTCTGATTTCAGTCCGTCTCTTGTGCTTGATGGTTGACAGGTGATCCATTTCCATCTTCCCAAATAACTAAATTCTTTTTTACTTTCCAGAGTTTGGGTCGAGGCTTTGTTTGACATGCTCTGCATGCTCATATTGTAATTTGGTTATAATTATTGGTGTTCATTTTTTGGGTTTTGTTGTCTTTTTACTGTCCTTTGGTTGGTTCATTTTGTGGTAATGACATCTGTTTGCATCGTCCAGTGGATCCCTTTGTGCTCATTGTCATCATTACAAACTGGTTATGGGATGTCTCTTATGTTGTCTATGTTGGCTTCCTGTATTGATGATCACACAGGTGGGTTCTATCTCTTTTAATCAACCATTTCCGATGTGTTATTGCTCTCTTTTTTATAGTTGTGAAGTAAATAAGGTCACCTTGTATCCTTGCACAGGATGAGAAACTCCTGAGTTTGAAAAAAAGTAAAGTCAGTGAGTGAGTCAGCATATTTCAGGAGATAATGTATTCTGAAAAACTCCCTGCAGCAGGTCCTGTTCCTGTGCTGCTCAGGAGAGTGACAACAGGGAAAGAAAAAGTTCTCTATATATTTTTTATAACTCTTTCAACACAATTCCAGCAGAAGACATTATGCAAGTAGTCAGTGTGACATGCACACCTTAAGCCAAAAAAGCAAATATGTCCCCCCAAGAAAATACAGAACACTACAATACTCTCCAGTTCTTCACTGTTTGTAAGCTCAGGGCTGTGGTTATAAATAAGTGACTCAGAGTCTAGATGAGCATTTCAAATAACTCTCTCTCTCTCTCCTGGGTGGTACCACTGCAGCCCAAGGTTATAGCAGACACACTTACTGAGCTTGTGTTGGTTCTCTTATATTCTCTTTGGGTGGCACTGAAGTGTCTAACTGGGATTTTGTGTGTGATGGGGTCTTAATGACTTGTGGGCATGTTGGTATTTCTGAGCTACAACCTGGTTTCTTCTCATTTCCCTGTGGTGACAAAATGTAGATGTTTTTTTTTTTTTTTGGACTGTCTTTGTCTGGGTTGTGAATAAAAGGTTTCTGTAAAGATCGATCTCAGATCAATTCCTCTAATTTTTTCAAATTCCACTACGGTTTGGGTTGATAAACTTCAAGCGGTCCTCTTGTTAAACTGAGGACACCCATTTAAGACACATTTTAAATAAAATAAAAAGTTCTTTCTGTTTTTCCTGCAGCCCGCGGCCTTACGCTCAGTCCATGGGAGAGCAGTATTGTGGACCGCCTGATGACACCAACGCTGTCTTTCCTCGCAAGGAGCCGCAGTGCTGCCAGTGTCCTCACAAACGGCAAAGATGGTCGTAAGTTAAAATACAGAAAAAGAAAAAGGACTTGCATTAGATGAACATCTTTCAGCATCATTAACATCAGCCGCTTTTGCCTCAGACTCTCCTCTCTGCCCCCGTTCGGCCTCAGCCAGTCCCCTCACCTTGTGCGCCCACCAGCCCCACCGCCGCTGCTCCGACCGCTGGAGGGTGACGTCCAGCACGCCAGACATCACGCAGCGCCAACACAGACGGAGCTCCACACCCGTAAGTCTGCCTGATTAACTTCTGCCCTTTGACCGTCCTCTGACTGTCAAGTTTTGTCAAAGTTAGTGCTGGGTTTAACAACCAACAGACTTTCTTTTTTTTTTTTTTTTTTTTTTACAGTAAGCTGTTTCCCAGATAAGGAGCGTAGCTAAACGACTGTTAAATGTGTAACAGCTGGTTCTGTTTTTGAGTGGATTTACCTTCCACTGGTTACTGATTCAAAGCACGTTACCTGATGACACTTCCTTTTCTCGTGTTCTTAATGTATACAGACCAATATGTAGTCATCTGTCCTGTTGTGATTATAATGCAATGACATAAACAGACTGACATTTGTGAACCGTGTGTCTCATCCCTCTGACCTACAGATGGATAAAAACAAGAAAGAAAAGAAAGATAAGGAGCGGGAGAACGAGAAGGAGAAAAGTGCTCTCAGTAAAGAGAAGGTGCTGAAGAAGAGACAGTCTCTCCCCAGTATGAGACACAGAACTGATCCCAGGTAAGATGTTCTTACTTATTTCTAATGATTATTTTTCTTCATTTAAACATTCAATAATTTATTGATTTAGATTCTATTAATGATTTACAAATCTGAAAAAGTACCGAGCTCTTATTGAGATAGTAAATCTAATGTTTACAAAACTGACAAAGCCCATGATTAGTTACAAGACCTAATGTTGGACAACCGACCTTTTCCACTTCAATGTTTGTAGATTCATCAAGGGAAAAAATTCAAATCATTGTAGTTCAGTCTTCACTCGTGTAGAGATTCTGTTTTATGATTTTAGTAATTGAATATCTGTCGGGGTTTTTTGTCCATTGATTTTATAGAACAAAAAAAAATGGACCTTATCTTAATAATCATTTTTTTAAATTATATGTATAATGTAAACATATATTGTGTAAATAATGGGCATTGTATTTAATCAGAAAAATAAACATTAGCTGCAGTAACACTGTTATATAGTGTGAGCTCTTGTTATCAATCCAGTTGAGAAGCTCACCATTAGGACCATGTAAGGGTTATATCCAATAAAAGCTTCCACCCCCACTTTAGAAAACATCCTATTACCCAAAATGACCTAAGAGCTGTTGTAAAATTCTGACATACATACAGACCCGGTCTTAGAAACAATATTCTAAACAATGTTCACCTCACATCCCCCTGTACAACAGCCTGTTTGTGCGCCATGGCTGGATGAGCCACGGCGACGATGTTTACGTCTGCACTGTAATGACATCATAGTTAGTGCTCTGTTAAAGACCTGGCAGTGAGTGAAAGGTCCTGACACGCGTGGTCATCCCCTCTCATATCCTTAGGCAACTGAAATAAATGACATTTTATGACAGAAGAGATGGAAGAGGAGAAAAGAAAGTTCTTTTGAGTCAATAAAAAAAGCATCAAAGAGCTTGGCAGAGCTGACAGTGCCCGAAGGCGGGAGGGGAAAAAAAGTCTCCTTTATCATAATGCATGTCTTTCTCCAAGTGTTGCATTGCCTGTGTGTAGCTGAATGACAAAGCACTGTAAGGATGATGCAATGTTTGAGTGCCTCGTCTGCCGTGCATCTGTTTGCTGAAGTCAGGTTTCATCAGGACATCTGTATATCTAAACTACATTTTCAGCTTTGTTCTGAGAATCAACAACTGGGTTAAGTTTTGACATGTTTCCCATCAGTCGTATAATTTATCCCCAAATGTTCCTTTCTTCCAGTCCTAGTCCTCTATCAAGACAACGGCCGTCATCCCCTGCCACGCCTAAAGGCAGAACAGCCTCACCCAGCCCTGCTGCCTCCCCTAAGCCTTCATCCACACGTGGAAGCCCCTCCCCTAAGCCTTCATCCACACGTGGAAGCCCCTCCCCTAAGCCTTCATCCACCCGTGGAAGCCCATCCACCCCTAAAAGTCGGCCGAAAAGAGCCAGGACCCCTGCCAGGATAGACCCCCGTACATCCTCCCCCGCCCCCCTTGAAAGAGTGAAGGAGCCTCGCAGGCCCGCAACCCCTGAGGAGAGAAAGGGTAAGTACAGGAAACCGTTTTGGTGTTGTTGTGGTTACTATCAAATCAAAAAGAACAGTCAGGCTGCCTGTGCACAGTTTTGAAGGTCACCTCCATAGAGAAATCATAAACTTAGGGTCTGATTGTATCCCAGTGCTGTGACTCATAGCATAACAATCTAAACTCTGTGCTGGAGGAGAAATTATGAAGTTCAATTTGTCCATTTTATCTGGAACATGAGAAAGTTTGCCTGTTTGTAACACTAAAATCGTACTGGTTTTGCCTGAGCTTTCCACCATATCTCGTTGAGGGGCATTAGTAGATGGAGTTTGCTCAGCTGACATTTTAACTAAGTAAAGAACTTCTGTTGTCCGCCTGTGATCACACGTTGAGCGAGGTAGCAGTGATGACCACTGAGGAAGACCATAACAAGTGTTTGAATGATGTGGAACAAGCAAATCAAAGGATCTTTAGTAATTAATGTTATCATGTAAGTTTTTAAGAACAGAATGCAGCACAATTATCTGCACTTTGTTGCAGGTTCTTTTTGTCTACAGTAATCCACTGTGCTTTTTGGCCTGTCCTGTGGTTCAGAAGCACTTGGTAGCCTTCTCCATATCTGAGTCATATTGTGTTATTGTATTCTGTTATAATGGTTCTTCACTGTCTGGCTTGGTCTCTTCCTTTGGCCTGCCAGAAGACAAAAAAATCTAATGGAAAAAGTGAACAAACGTCTGGAAAATCAGTCTATTTCAAGAGCCAATAGGCAGAGATTACATCAGGCTTAATTAGCCATGCAAATGTATTTAGAGCGCCACACACAGCTCCATACTCTGCGTCTTGTCACACACAGCACTGAGAGGCTGCACTAATCAGCCTTAATTATGTAATTACTGACTTCTTAGACTGCAGATACTGCTGTTTATCATTTCCAGTTGCTAAAGAAAGAATGATTCACAGTGAATGTGGAGAGAAAAGGCTGCTGCTGAACATTTTATGATGACCTGATGGTCATTTCTTTGATACACAGCAGATGATCTGTACGTGTCTGTCTCTGTGTAACAGCTGTTTCCCTTGTTTTCTAGGTTCTCCTCTGGTTCCTGCTATCGTAGTAGCCACGGCTGCCTCCTCCCCTCACGCATCGAGCACGACAGTTACTACCGCTGCAGCCTCCTGCTCACCTGAGCCGGCTCATTCAGCTCCTTCTGCAGCATCACCCGCACCCTCTCCATCAGCCAAGCCCATGGCAGGCACCAATGACGCAGAGGAGGCGGGTCGCATCCTGACAGAGAGACGCAGACAGGCCCGGGAGCAGAGGGAGAGGGAGGAGCAGGAGCGACGTGAACAGGAGGAGAAAGACAAGTCAGTGGATTAGAAATAAGCCTCAAAACACTTTTTTTTAAATAAACATGTCTGTGTCCTTGTTGAAGGGTATATTCCCAAGCTGTGATTTCAGGCAGGATAATTTAAGAAATGTATAGTTAAGAGAACAAGCTGATCAGAATTGTACAAAAGGTTATTAAAGGGAGACTAAAGGAACATGACAATGTCAGCGTCATTAGGACATTTGAATAGTGATAAAGCATTATAAAGAGTGTTTCCAAAAGTGCCAATGTATTATGAAAGTTATTCTGAAATCACAGGTGTACAATATGCTTTTATAGACATTTTGATATTGAAAACAAACCTCACACAGGACGTATTTGTATTTCCCAGACATGAAACAGACATCTGTCAAACTAAGCAGGACTGCTCCATGCATTTTCACATCAGATGTGTGTCTGAATGAGTCCTCACTGGCCATGGTGTGGAAGCATTAAGAAACTGATAGCCTGTCGACTGATTCTTACCGCAACAAGTTCCTATTTACAGCTCGGGAATAGATGTGATCTCCTGTTGGCACTCATACTTCTGATTGTTTCCAGTTCCTGAAATAGTTTCTTGTTGCTGGTGCTTTAATCTCCACTGAGAGGACAAGTGTAAAATAAAGCAAGGAAAAGTCATTGTATTTCTTAGTGTGCACCAGATTAAATGATTTAGTGAAAACCTGCTTAACCGAAACTCCCGTCCATACTCTGTAGGATCCTGCGAGAGGAGCGGATAGTGAGGGAGGCAGAGGAGAGGCGGCTCCGGGAGGAAGAGTCCCGTGCTATGGCCGAGGAGCAACAGAGGAGGGACGAAGCCCAGCGCCTGCAGGACGAGAAAGAAGCTCAGGAGAGAGCCAAGGCCGAGCAGGAGGAGAACCTGCGCCTGCAAAAACAGGTACGCTTCACCGTCTTCATCAAGCAAGCAGAGCAAGCGACTGAAGTGGAAGTTGTTGGGTGTGAACACAGTGCAGTGGACGAGCTGTGCTAGTTAGATCAGGGCTGAAGTAACTCATAAGTACTTGAAGCTGTTGCAGTGATAAGGTCCATAAAGTACCAGTGTAAAAATGATTGCTGCCTTTTGAGTAAAGGTCAAGACACACGCATTGGTGCTCTCACACTGCAGCCTCACATTATCCCCAGGCACTTTGCCCATCACACCACAAATGACATGCTCTTCTATCTTAAGCAAACAATCTGTTTTTCCCCTCACTTGTTTACCGTTTCAGTTCAGCTGCTCACCTCAACCTTGACCTTTTTTTGTAAACAGTATTTTCAGGACAAGCTGTAAGTTGTTGTCCTTTTAGTCATATATTAAACCAAACTGGTGAGCTTGCATATGATTAAAATTCCCTTTCTATTTTAGAGTTTTCTTATAGAAATAACCACCATTTCTTGGTTTGTTTGTAAATATTGTGGATGTCATCCTGCAGCATGAGCAGCCCTGGCATCAGATAATGTCTATACATCCAGCCATTGCTCTTTGCCACCCCCCTGTGGTCTTTCACAGAATTGGCACTCGTGGTTGAACATGATCTGATAAAATTATGCAAAGGCATAATCAAGAAAGTATTGTGTTTTGCTTTGAGTAGTTCTCACAAAGCTGTCAATTTTGAAAATATAACTTTTTGGCTGAAGGATACAGAAAAAATATTCCTTTTATGGCTGTAAACAATAATTGCAGCGTGCAACCACGCCCTTGTTACGTAAAAGGCATGTTATTTTGGCTGAGATTTTTTTTCCCCCACTATGCTGGCATTAACATTTGGGTTGGATTGTCGCCTGTGTGTGTGTGTGTGTTTTCAGAAAGAAGAGGCTGAGGCTAAAGCGCGGGAGGAGGCAGAGAAGCAGCGTCTGGAGAGGGAGAAACACTTCCAGAAGGAGGAGCAGGAGAGGCTGGAGAGGAAAAAGGTAGGGCAATGCATCTGTCCTCCCATTGTTGTTCCTTCAATCAGGTTTTTTTGGTTTCTTTTCTTAAAATCCTTGCTGAGCTTTTAAGGGGGAATCAAACAACCTTAAAATGTCCAAATTGATTGATTAAAAGTATTTTACATCCCTAGACCCATGTCTGTTCTCTGCATACACCTCAGGGTAACACACAATTAATTCTGCAGTCATTATATAATAAGCTCTCCTCCCTCAATGGAGGGTATCATATTCTGGGGTACATAAAACTGTGGTCTGTCTCCTGACATTACAAGAGCAGGCTTGAAAGTTGGGTCCCCGAAACCAAGATGAATGATGTTTTTGGCTTATCCAGGATTGGCCGTCTGCATGCCATGATTTAACAAGGCTTAGACTGTGTATGAGCATGGAGCTATATTTAAACAGTAATAATGGAGGCCTTGCTGTGCCAATCATTATCTGTGTGGATTTGTGCAGATCTATGTGTGTGTTCTATGACTGTGACCATCTAATAGAGTAAACCACCCACATCTGCATCTGTATGCTAGCTAAGCCTTTCCTTACCCTCGTCTAGCTCCATGTGTAAGAGGCTCTTATCTAGAGATGCCAGGCCCGGTGCAGACTGCCCGAGCCTGGCTCTGTGCTTGATTTTTCCCAATTGAACAGCATGTCCTCTGCTCCAAAGACTCTCTGCTTAGTCACACTTAATGAAATATTGCTGCAGATTGACTGACTTCAAACAAAACTAACTCTTAAAAAAGACTTTGTGGTCAGCAAGAGCAGAGTGTTAAGTATAGCCCAATGGGAAACAAAGCAACTAGACATACAAAAGTCTTTTGCCAAAGGAAGAAGCAAGATGAGATTCCAAAAGTGCATGAGCTATCCATGAAATATCTTGGATCTTAAAACAGTTTCCCTTTTATGAGTGACAGCTGCAGTTCCGGTCTTGTAGTCTCAGGCTAGCTGTGTCCCTCAGATGAAGATCGTCATCTTCAGACAAATCTCTCCATCCTGTTGGCTGTAAAGCATAGACGTTCTTACTGTTCATTGTTCGACCATCCTACGCCGACGTTCCAGCTGAAAACACAAGTGCTGCTTCGTTATTGACACAGCCCTCCACCTGGAGACATAAGGGCCCCAGTTTGACTCGGTCCATTCACCTCAAGCTTTTTCAGCAGAGAACAGTGAAATGTGAAACATGAGTCCGTCAAAGTGTGTGGGCACTTTAGCTAACTGTAACCATAATGAATAATGCATTTGATTAGTGTAATGAGAAACAGAAACCCTTATATTTGAACTTCACAAACACATCTGTCCTGATCTTTCCTGTGATCTTATTTAAAAAAGTGCTGTGATTGGTATTTTGTTCTTTGTGGCATTTCCTTTCTTATTTTTCTCTCTTTTGTTTTTGTTTTTTAGCGTCTGGACGAGATCATGAAGCGGACACGCAAGACAGATGGCGGCGACAAGGTACATTTGCTGTTCCGTTTTTACTTAAAAAATAGTAATAAAAATAATAAAACAACAATAAAAATCTGACTAAAAAGTGACAAAAAATATATTTTTTACAGAAAGAAACAAAGTCTTCCCCGCCCACGAATGGCAATGATAAAGAGGCAGAGAGCAGCAAAGGTAAGCGGAAAAAAACCCAATTTCTTTAAAGCTCCTTTGAGGAACTTGTCGATTTTGCCGCCCTATGCAGACAAAGTGGGGCTTCTATGTATTTGCATATCTTGTCCTGTACATCTGTAAGAAGTGTTTTGTGATGAAAAACTCATCTTGCTTTTGTAAACAATCACACATATCAGTCTCATATAATACAGTAACTATTGTGTAAAGTACCAAAAGGGCTGTTTCTTCAGCATGCCGTTAAATGTTTTGTCTGACAACTGCCCCCTGGCAGTGGTTAAAGGCATGAAAAATAACTATATAGCGATAGTTGCTCCTGTTGCTGATGGTCATATTTGCCTTTTGTAACTCATAGTGAGGGATCAGTATTAACTTTAATCTGTTTCATAACCAGTTCAAACCCCTCACAGGGGATTAAGTGATGGAGTTAAATCATTACCCCACTACTAGCCTTAACAGGTCACATATTGTGCAAAATACACTTTGTTTTCTGAGACACACTACTCTGTGTCTCTAGCCTGTCAATAAACCTCGCAACAATGACAAAAGTCCATCCTCTCTGTATTTTGCCTCCTCCACTTTTCTGAAAATGTGTGCTAAAACAGGCCCTTTGGTAATTTTCCCTTTGTGACATCACAAAGGGGAGTAACCCCTCCCCCAGGTGAGTGACACTCCCACAGCTAGGTGTTTGTTCGGTCCTCCAAGTTCGCCTTTCCACTATAAACGATCAGGCATGGTTCAAGAAAGCCCAAAAACCATCCAAACCTTTCTAGAGGGGTGTGGTTGAACACATCTCACTTGCATTTAAAGGTATAAACACAGAAACAGGCTGTTCAGAGCAGGGTGTAAATAGAGGGGTTTAAAGGCATGATCAAATACAGGATCATAATGGATCATGGGGAAGAAACTTTACCGACATGTTTTAAGGGAGATCTGAGACTTGTTTAAACTTGCTGAAAATTAGTATATTATGTGACCTTTAATCTAGCTGGATTGTGAAGGGTAATGGTTTTAACTGATGTTCAGTTATTGTGTATGCTTTGTGACCAGCTGGTTTGCAGAATCCACCCAAAAATGGGATTTTACTATTTTTGCAATTAGCAGATCGACCTTAACCATGAACACATGACATTTAAGACAGTGTCTGACTCATGTTATTGCTCAACAAAGAAATCTTTATTATTCATCCTTTGGGCTTGAATTAGAGAACACATGTATCATCTCTGCTCTGCTTATTTTACTTCTTCCATATGTTAGCTTAAACAAAGTCACAAGTATTTGTTGCACTTAAGTTCTAATTTCCGCCTGAGTCAGCTTTCCTTGAGACGATTTTGTAGAAAATGAGTTATTAGATTATACATCTCTGCTTCACATCCTGCACAGCTGCAGTTTAACTAGTTTTTTCTCTGTAAAATAGGACCCATGTGTGCTTGCTTGTTGTCCAAACTGTGGGACAGAGGGACTTTTGAGAGGAAGAGCCTGCAGCATTTATCCGCTATTAGCTATTGACACAAGCTATTCTACAGGGACACGTGTGATCTTGTAGCTTCTAATTTTGCCAAAAAAAAATCCAAACTAAACTGAGAAGCGTACACCCTCTTTGCCCAGGCTTCCACGTCACATACAGTAGATGAGTAAGATAAAGAGGATCAATGTGGTCACGGAGATATGCTGTTTGAGGCAAAGTTCCCCATCACAGGAAGACATAAGCCAGCCACTGATGTGGTCGGAGGTCTGGCAGGCGTGCCTCTATTGTAGTCGGTGTGTGTGGAGATCTGTTTCAACCACAGCCGTGTCCTCAGCAGAGCGGGAAAGGGGGGGATTACACAGGCAGGAAACCCATGGAAAATGTAGCTCCCTTTTTCTGCCAATTTAGCAGTTAGCCTGACACAGTTTGAAGAAGGCCATTATTGGTTTCATGCTTTGGTTGATGTTCGTTCAAAGGTTATTTATGTGAGATGATCATGTTAATGTGTCTGTTTTTACACTGGATAAATGGTTGATTCATTTGTCTCCTTTAGCCTCTGCTGAATATCCGCCAAAGCCAGAGGTCAACCTGCCTCACAAGACAGACAACGGACAAACCAATGGCAAAGAAAGGTACAAACGGTTGCTTCTTGTTTGTTGCAGTGAAGAATTGAAGAGTTTGGAGAAAGCTATTGTTTCTTGAAATGTTTACTTTCTGTATTTAAAGACTCTTCATGGGGTAGACTGAAAAAAAGTGTCGTAATTGGACAATGCTGTGATGACTCATTTGTTATACGAGTCACCCTTAATAACTAAAACCACATTTTTCTTTGTGTTTCCCCCTCTTCAGCAGCCCCTCGCTTCCAGTGGTCAATGGGGTCCAGCCTACAAGACATGAAAACGGTCTGTCCACTAAAGGAGACACCGCCCACTTTGGGGATATCCTCCATCTCACAAATCATGGCAACACCACCAACGGAGCGCGGGATAACTCTGAAAGCAGCATGGACTCTGATCCCATCCTGTCGTTTGAAAGTGAGGATTCATTCCTGAAAAAGGCCGGCCCCATGAAGCCTCAGCACGTTGCAGGTACACAGTCATGAACTGCTTTACAACACTCACGACATGATTATACAAAAATCAACTGTTCAATCAGGAGAAGAAAGACACGATCAAAGCAACCTGGCAGATGATGAAACTAGCCTAGCATGAGGAATGAAAACAAGGAGAACCATTGAGACTACCAGAGCTAATCTGTACAATATCAGAAACATCCTTTCCGTGCTAACTTTATAATCTCATAATTTATTGTCATTTAAATCAGTCCAGAATGGTAGAAAAGGTGTAATAGGCATTAGCATCGTTTTCAAATGTTACCAACATGGTGCATGAAAAATGAGGGATTTTCCAAGATGACTAATTCAAAATCAATTAAATGCATATTTAAATTCAGACTAAACACTCAGAAGACAGTCACAATTTAGCGCAACTTATTTCAAATTGTCTGCAAGTAAACAATGTTTTTTGGTTTGCTGAGTGTGGCTAATGTTAGCTGTGCTAGCGCGCCAGAAGAGAAGGTCCATTAGCTACCACTAGTCTACTGCTCAAGCCCCAGCTAGTGGTGGACAACTGCGTTACAGCTTGGATATAATATTTGACCGGCATATAGAAATGTGTTTAACTGAATAGTAATTCTTGTGACAACGCTTATTGAGTCGACTAAACGTTCACATCCCGATACAGAGTTTAGTTTAGAAAGGGTCACTCCTTTTTCCCAAGGTTGGAAGAGCAAATCTTAAAGATATGTCGATGCCAGAGGTAGAAATTCACTAAAATATGGAGACTTTTGTATAAACTGTTAATTTAAATTTCAGATACCAGTGAATTATAGATAACACACTTTAAAAAAATGATTTTCTTTTACTGAATGGGTACAGCCAAAACAACAGTGTACTGTATGTCTGTATTTGTGCAGCATCAGAAAGGAATAACCCAGCAGTCACACTCCACACAGACAACACAATCCAAATCTAATGTTTTTGATTTACTTAATGTGCCATTAATAAACTAATCCAGGGAATAAGAGGAAAGCACTTTTACAATTGCCCAACAGCCATGTGGTTAAGCCAGGATCACCAGTGTGTCGGTCACAGTTTGTTCTCTCGTCTTTACCTCATAAAAAGGAGCAGCACACATAACCATGGTTCATTTCAAATTGGCTCTACACTTCCAAGTTCTCATTACTGAAGAACAACAGTAGTAGAACGAGTCATAGTTAGAGCTGTGACTCACGGCACACAGAGACCAAAACCAGAACTTGCTGTTCCCCGAACGTGCAGATCATCACCCCCCCGAGGAGAGGACGGTGTGGACACTTACAGCCACAAAGGGCCAGAGACGGGATAGGGGAGAAATAGTGAAGTGAAAGGGGTGAAGAGGAGTGGGGTATCTTTATACTGATGACAGCTTTTCTTCAGCAGCCCCTCTGACAGGGGCCTGCAAGGAATTCCCAGAATGCCCGAGGTGACGAGGAGACTCTATCCACAAGTGCTTCACGGCAAGGGGGTTAGAAACAGGACCCCGGAGCAATTAAGCACCATATCACCCCTCAGTCAACCAAACACCCTGTGTCAACGTCAGCAGCACCTTACTCTCCCCTTCCTGCAAGACCTTAACCTGCACCTGATAGCCTGAAGACAAGCCAGAGGTCGTAAATATTACTGAAAGCAAACAGAGGCAGTCCTCTTAAATGTTATCACACATTAATTAACACATAACAACTTTTTTTTCGTCCTACGTCCCTTGCCTTTGACGCAGACGTATAAAAAGCAAACATTCTCTCTTCTCATTTTCACTCTTGTAAATGTGGACACACGAGACGCCTTTTACCACGTAAGACATTTATGAAGAAGGGACGATTGATATGCGTGACTAATTGCATGTTATAATGTAACTTCATAGGACTTCATTTTATATATCGAGGCATTCTTCCAGGGTTTATTTAAATGTTCGTATTTATTTAGAGTAGGCACATGTGGCGTTGTCAGTCAAATCATTTGGCCTAACATCAATTAGGAACTCGTTCCCTAAGTTGGCTGCATTTGACGATGACAATTATTCATTTGAGTTCTTTCAAATACTCCCATGTTCACAGGACAGTAAATCCTAACAGGCTCTCGTCGCTGCATCGTCTTTTTGTGTTGAGTTTTGCCACAAGGTCAAAGGTTCAAAGACCATGTCATCGCTCAGATCGAAGGGTGTGACCCTCTTTTGACTGCAAACCCAACAACTTTCTGTCTGTAAGCATGTGTTGATGAATCCTCGATGGTTGCTGATCTTTAACCCTTTTGCTCTGCCTCCCTCTCGCAGAGGTCCTGTGACATGTTCCTGTGCTGAAGCGCTCGTCACCTTTTAGGCCGCCGACCTCTCCCAGCCCTGCCGACGCTCACATGGGGACTCCTGTGACCTGTGCCAATCAACCACCCTTTTTTTTTTATTTTCTAAGCCCCTGAAAGCAAACATACTTCTCTCTGAAGATGAATCGGGCTGCAGAAAGTGACAAACCAAGCATCAGGAGACAAGAAGACAAAACAGGATGCAGCGTTAGTGAAGATCTTTGTGGCAGAAATCCCATGCACCTCAATAAGTGTCGGCATCATACTTTGTACTTTAAGGTACAGCTGTGTAATTTTGATTACAATAAGCTGAAGCGTTTGTTTTACTTTGTTCTTTAGTTATTTAACTGAAAGAGAAATATAAAAGACTGGGTACATTTTTGTGAATAATGTAAATTAACTGTGTGATGGACAGAGGACGGCTAATCTGACGATTGAAGGTGTATGAAAGGGAGTCATTTTATGCTACTCTTAGTAGAAAGCCAGGTATTGAACCTCCTGGTGTGTATAAAGCCACATGTAACAGTTTTTTGTAAAGTTGAACCGAGAAATCACAGAAGGAGATTTGAAATGTACATTCACACGCAGCAGCTTCGTATTATGTGTAAACATACCGTCTGCTCAAACCTCAGCTTTGATTGATTGTATGCAGAACTGGATGTAAAAATGAGAACGCAACAACGACGATAAAGAAACCAGAAGTCTTCAAAGGTGATGCTCCTTAAAAACAGAGATGTACTCCACTATTTAACAGGTAAACACTGTTTGATTTCACATGTGCAAGCATGACACTGTCTTCTCTCGTGTGCATCGAGATTCCATGGACTCATATGTGTTTGAAATGCTGGTGCGTGTATATGCTATAATTATTTTGATGTGCGTTACAAGGTCAGTGGGAGTATTTTAAGTCTTATTAAAGACAAGCTGTCCAGTCACTCGTCTCTGATTCTATTTTTCCTGAAAAAAAAAAAAAGATGCATTTGATGAAATCAGGGGATTTTGTTTTGGGAAGACAGGAAAGAGTGCAGATGTTCTAATTTCAGACTTAAATCTTAAAGTAAAACATCCTCAGATTCTTTCATCTAAAACAGGCATGCAAGATTGATAATGTGTTATCAATTTGACAGTTTGGGAAAGTTTTGTGTTTCATTTTGCTTTGTTTTATTCCTGAAGTTCAACAATATTTTGACATTCAAGGTTGGAAAAACCCCTGAGACCACCGCTGAGAGTCACAAAAGACGGTGCATGCTAACCGCCAGGAAAACAGATTTAGAGATGGTACTGGAGGGCCTTCCAGTTGATATACAAGGCATGTGAGTTGGCTCAGCTGTCCATTTCAGTTTGGGTCTCCTTTTACAAAATCCCCACAGGGGGTACATGCCACTCTATGGGCTGCCTCCCTCACTCCTGTGGCCAGTGCAAGGCCTGGCACACTGTTTCCAACCTTCAAGGCAGCTGCAGTGCACTAAAACACAATTTATGTCCCCCTCCTATCAAAGAGGAAGACACAAGTCCTGCATGGTGATTAGTGAGGCATGTGATGCAAATGACTTATAGCTGCCTGTGAAATGCAGTGGAGTCCAGTAGTACGACGGAGTACAGTTTGTTAACTTGAACTTGTGATGCACGGCTGGCCTTCTTTATCTCCCAGTGGGCTTCATATTATTTCATCACCATGCAATGGAAAGCTCTGAGCAATGCATGGAGACTCTATTTTAACTGTCTTTGAGAGGGATGTTTTCCCAAAGATGGAAAAGAAGGAAAATACTTGTCATATAAAGGAGACCCAACATACATGTGACCAGTGTTTAAAGTAAGTGAGAACTTTGTTTTAACACTGAATCATGGTCGTTTTCATTGGAAGCTAAATCATTCTTAAAGCGCTGATATGACTACACATTCACACCAAAATGTTTGCAAACTTGAGCTTTCATTAACGCCCTGCACTTCTTTTCCACTCTCAACTGCCGTCAGAGCTTTTAACGCTTATACTGAAGAACTAAAAACGCTTCACTTCGTAGCCTACAGCTCACACTGACATTCTGCCACAGCCAGTTGGCTTCCTGAGCTTCCTTGAGAAAGATGTGAAAATCCTGCCAACACCTTAAGTGTGTGTTTCGACAACACGGTCCCACTGGTGTCTTGTGTTGTTACTGCACTTGTCCACATGGCTCTCCTGTCAAAGCTGTATTCATCAACCCCAGCAGAGGGTGCAGCACTGCAACAAGGAGGTGACAGAGAGCCAGGTTACATCTCGCCTGCTTCATGCCTACCCTGTAGTTTGATACAACAGTGCATCAACATGGTAAACACTTCTTTCCATATCTTAATGTCTGCGTAGCAAAAAGGCCCAGTTTGAATTAAAATGCATAAGCCTTCAGAGGTTTTGGACCTAGTGCGTGTGCTTGTCAATGCCTGGTAATGTGTGGTGCTTCTCAGAGGGGGACTAGAGGATTAGTGGGCACTATTTTTAGGGAGGTGTCAGTGAGGCAGTGCACAGTTACAGGATGAGTAGTTCCAAGACTCTGAATAAATTTACACATAATGAGGATATAAAATAAATTAAGTACAATATGTGGATTCAAAAGAAGCTCCAGACGGCCCCTTGTAGTCAAAGAATAAAGGTGTGCTGTTGCTCTGGCATTGCAGTGCACCCCTCATGTCACTGTGATTGATGGTGTATTATCTCCTCAGCCTGTACAGTGTAAGTGCGCTGATTGGTGCATTGGAGGTGTCACTATCCATGGCTGGACTCGAATTATCCTCCTCTCTTGGGACGGATCATAAAAAAAAAAGAGCAGAAGATCTAATCACATTCTGTCGCGTGTGACGACTTTACAGGCACGTAGTCGAACCTTTGCGTTGGTGCTGCTCTGTGCGGAGCATGCAGCCTGCATAGTTTGGGACACAAGCTCACTGTTGTCTCAGACATAAATCTCTGCACTTGAGGACTGGCAGGAATCTTGCAAATGTTTAAGAACAGCAAGTGTGCTCAGCTCAGCCTCCATTTTAAACAAGATGGGGGGCGGGGTGGGGAGGGGGGGGGGGTCAGGTCTAGGTCACACCTCTCCAGATAAGACCACCAGGGCTACAGTTATTCATACATCACAACCATCAAAGCCCACAGCCACAACCTTCTCCAGTGTTTATGCTCACACCCCTCTTCCTCTCTCACGTTGAACCGTCTTTGTCTGGCCAGCAACAGCCTCCTCGCACAGCTGCTCTCAGATGGCAGACCATTAATGAAAGGCCACAGGACGGCCACCGCTCACAGCAAGCCTGCTTCTTGATCCCTGTGGAAACCGGTTTCGGGCAGGGCAGTCATTCAGCAATGTTGACGAAAAGGACTAGATCTAAGAGCGACCCCCACGGGGCCTCGCTACTGCCAAGCTGCCCTTATAGGTTGCACAGAGAACCCATGGCCTCACATCAGGGGGTGGTCTACATGGGGCAGAGAGCAGCTGAGTCTAAATGGACAACTGCTGGAACATCATCACAACTCGTCAGATATGGGTGCTTTTTAATGAAGTCCCTCCTGGGTGTCTGATGTTCCACCAAGCCTTAAGAATTTAAGAGTCTGACCTCAGTACACTCTGCGTTCTTGTTGTTTTCTTTGGGTACACTGAATAAACGCATGCCTTAATAAAGTGGGAACATATTTATTGCACAAGTCGCTGATTACTTTACTGGCGCATCTGCTTGGCAGTTGATCAGTATTGAAATTCCTTTATTTACAACTTTGGCAAAATGTAGACCCGAGTAGCGGTTGTTAACAGAAGTTGGACCTGCATCACAACAAATACAATGTCGTCATATAAAATAAAGTTATTGATGTACTAATCTCTGCTAATTGTATACATCGTTTTCAAGATCTTGATAAAATCTCCTACAGTTATGTCAAAGATGTGAAACACACATAGCTAGATGACACACTAGCTATGCTGTAAGTATATCCTCCTTTACTCAGCACATAAGAGCAAAGTGCTAATGTCATGCTATTCTTTGCGGGTATAATATTTATAATGTTGAATGCTTTTTTTAACATGCTAACATTTGTTAGTAAGACTTAAATGTGACATATAGCTGAGGCTGAGAAAAATGTTTTTGCATGAACTTGGTCAAAAAACAAAGTATCCAACAAATCAAATTGTTTTTTGCACAAGAAAAACTTGCAAACAAGTAAAAACGCTAATGTCCATATTCTAACAAGATACAAATCAAATTGTTACCATGCAAGTTTTTGGCAGGTTCACAAAAGCAAGGTATAATATTAACCATTTTAGACATTTTATTAGCATGCTGATATTTGAAGGTTGAAAATAAACACAGAGTACAGTCTAGAAAAAATAAATGAAGATATTTCTACTCTGGATTTTACAACTCTACTACTCTCTACTCTCTCTTTTTTTTAAAAAACAAATAGTGTCAAAATAGTTGGTGACTCAGGTAAAAGCTGCACTTTAAGAGCAAAAAGCTAACATCCAAGGCCCACATGCTTGTGTTTGACAGGTGTAATATTTACAACCTTCACAGCTATTGTTAGCATGCTCACTGCTAGTTCGAACAAAAACCCCAGAAGGCTCCAGTTCTTGCTAACTGGAATATGTTTTTTATAACACCTAACACTGGATAAATTCCATTCTTTGTGGTTCAAGAAAAATCAGCACACAAGAGAAAATGTTAACATCTACATGCTAACAAGCTCAAATGGTAATGCTACCATGCATGTGTTATACAGGTATACCATTCACAATGTTCATCAATATTGTCAGCATACTAATATTTTCAAGTTAGAGCTAAAGACCAATTAAAGCTGAGACTGATGGGAATGTACTTGTGTAACCATAATAGTCGACAACAGAAATTGAGGCACTAAAAACATCGGATCAATAAAGTCTGCAAGATTTCTTTCTATACAGCAATTATACTCAACTCAAAATCTTAAATCTCTTAAAAGTGCTTTGGGAAAAAGCAACTGGATTACCAACACCAGCTGGCTTGATTCTCTGCAGGGACCATGATTGTCTGTACAATGTCAGGACCGTCCGTCCAATAGTCATGGAGATATTTCGGTCTCGACCAAACCAGCCACCTGACTAACCAACATTGGATGTCCCAATAACCACACCTCTAGTGGCTAAACAACAGTATCACAACCACCCCAGGGGTTTCATATTTAGACATCGACACAGTTTTAGCTTCAAAGATCCGTTGTCTCTTCATCTTGGAGCTGACAGCTTTACAGCATCACTGCCAATCAGCGCGCAGAGGACAAGCGGCTTCAATTTTGCCAGCTTGCAAGCTCGGTTATTTTCAGTTCATGGGATAACTGAGAATTAATCCCTCATTGCAAACTCGCTGCCAGCTACACTCGGGCCTTTGGATCGCTCAGTTTTCTTTTTGTTCCATTTGGAAGGAAAACTCTAAAACAGGGGCTCACACGGAGGAACTGGGGCCAAATGTTTAATGTAGAAACAGGATCCTCCCCGGTGTCTCCCCGTGTTACCATTGGCTCACTAAAGAAGAACCCCTATGGATGATTTATCTAAGTGTCCCCCAGGCACCACCTGTAGTGTCTTATGTCTCTCTGAGGTATATGTTCACTCAGTTGAAATGTTGTGTCTTGGTTGCTGTGACACAGCGGAACATTACAGCCATCAGAGTGGTTACAAGCAGCTGCACTGTTTTTATCCCAATGAATTTCTGTCACTGTAATTTATTGTTTGGAGATTTTCTCAAAAGTAAATAGCTTTGGAAATAAGCTGTTTTCTCACATGCTTAACTAAAGTCCAAACCTCCATAACAGGATCATAAAATACATTTGATTTCTCTTAAATAAAAGTCACAAAAGCTCTAAATCGTTCTCTTCTTTATCTATCTTACTAGAGAGCAAAACTACATAGAGGACTTGCCATATTAGAATCCCAATAATTAA